TCCAATCCTTGCTTCCCACATAGTATGAAAGACATGGTAGCCACGAATACAGCAAGGAAAGCTCCATGTGCAACTCATCTTCTGAAGTCTCATAGGAAGGTAGGCGTGTGCAAGAAATTAAATTATTAACGTTAATTAATATTTGATGTCATTTAATTTGTGCGTTTATTGGAAATCGTAAAATTTTTGTTTCGCTACAATTTTCTAAATCAAAAATTTATACTGATACTAATTTCCGGATAGACGGTAATTTATCAGATTCTGTCACAACATGAATTTATTTTCATTGTAGGATTTTGTTTTGTCAGTACATTCTTATTTTATCTACTTTATCATTACATCACTGACATTTTTGTGATTAATAAGTTGATAATAATAACTTTAAATAAAGTTAATTGGGGCGAGCCTGAGCTCACCCCACTAAGGCAAGAAAATATCTGTTTGTATGTACAGCATAGGGTCATCAAATTATTATTAAAGTTAAACGGCCTAATCTTCATTAAAAGTAGGTGTGGTCACAATGATAAAATGGTGGCTATAAGCAAGTCTGAACTTATTTTGCAGCAAACATTTAGCAAGATAAGGTTAAATTGCTGTCTAAAACTTCTCTAGCAAGAATAAAGGTTGGGAAATTATATATACAGTCTTTTCCTTGGTATAAAGGATTCTGCTAAAGCAAATGCAAGCGAGGAAGCTGCAAGTATCAAGAGATCCGCTATTCTAGGTGATGTTTCTTCTGTAGCTAGGTTAACAAAGCAAATGTACAAACTGCAAATATGATTTGTTTAGTGACTGCTTCTAACTATAAGCAAGATGACTGCAACAACATACTGAATTTAGAAGTGCAATTGCTTTGCTATAGCTAAAACAGATCATACCGCACATAATCTATAGCTTACTTACAGGCTCGCCCCTTTAATGTTTTACATTCTTCTAGTTAATATAAATTTTGACTTAGGAAGAGTACAATTTTCGAAATAATTACATTACACAACTATTGAGTACAATTTAGACTATAATATTTTCCAACTGGTGTAGATGACGGCCAACACACCAGTTTCTCCTTTTCGACAAATACAAAATAAATCTTATCTTTTCTTCTCTTTCGATGGTGACTGTGCAGATCAAGTAGTCTGTAAATTGTGAGTTAATAACTCAGGCAACAGGTATTCACAAAAACATTTCTCAAAGTGAAAAGCATGATCATTGATGTAGCTCTTAGCACACATTACTCTCTCCAGAAATAAACATTTTTTGTCCAACTGAAAAATCGCAAAATCACAATTTCAGTATGCCCATTTGTCCCTGTACTTGATAGTAATACTTATGCTTTAGAGATGAAGCCACTTTTTCATTTTCATTCCTCAAAAAATAGTCTTGATCAATTACAGCAATTGCACTACCTTGAGGCATACTTCAATACCTATAGGTGCACTTTACTTCTACCAAACCTTCACAACAATCACACGACACTAGGCCGTCTGGAATACCTCCAAGAAAGGGAATTCATGACTTAAAACAAGGCCAGAGTTTATAATTTTAAAATTCCTATGCTTGTCCATCATTTTGTCCTTGTATGCAAATAATCCATTGTCCTCATTGTCTAAGAGCAGGGAAACCTTGACTTACAGCATAATATTGCATAATGGACTTAACCAGGGACGTTGGGTAACTTTTGCCTTGGTGTCTCAAAACTTCATATAAAAGAAGCTATTATGGGACCTTTTCCGTACTCGTGCAACAGTAATGAGTTGCTCTGAGCTCTAGTTACTCTTTCTAGATAGGCAACCTCTTTTTAGTGACTTTTAGTTATTGAAACGTATTAAAACAAATTTGATCGAGTTACTGTTTTGCAACTGTCCAACATTTAGAGTCATACAAACTCTCAAGTGAAATGAGAAGGTCTGTAACATGACGCAAGTTGATTGTTTGAAACCTGGTAATACTGAAAATAATGCAGCACTTGGAGCACACTCATACAACTTGTTGAAAACATCCTGTGGCTTTAACATTGGCTTCTCTGGAACAACAGTCATATGCCAGCCGGGTTGTGTTCAAGCAATTGAGCTTCCTGAGAACATTTGTGATTTGACTGGTCAAAAATGAACAGATCAACAGCTTTCGTTGCTTCAACCAAAACAAACAAATAATCATTCATAATAGCAAGGAAATTATTACTTTTTTAGAAAAAGCTTGATTCCAGACACAAGGTAAGAAGGTATAACTATTAGTAGCTATATCTAAGCGCAAACAAGAAGCAACTTTAAATAAGACACCTGCGACATGCAAACAGACTTCACTAAATCTATCAATTATGTAACAAGTCATTTGTTAAAAATTTACCCAGCCATACATGTACAGTGACCACAAATCACAACTCATGTCTCCTTTACAACACCAACCCATGCTTTATGATCAACATTTATTCTCTGAGATGCCATTACGTTTCCCTTCAGCACACAGTTACTACTTTCTAGTATACATCTCAAAACAGTCTTTACAAATGAAATCAAGTAATTAATGTTAACTGTGCTAGTTCAGGCCTATGCATGACTGTCTCACCCTAAATAGTAGCTATACTCATCAAGACTCATGCATGCTTTCATTGCTTCTCTGCTAGAAGGGCCTGGAGGTACAATGTACTTATAAATATCTCCATGGGCAACCTGAGGCAACAATGAGACATCATCCTTATTTTTAATGTCAGGAATTTCATAAGGCTTTGTTAAAACAACTTCCTTCTGTCCACTTTTCCATATACAACAGATAGATCCTAGTTATATCGAGTCTCTATATACACAACAGAAGCCGTTCTTTAGATTTAAGCTTATTTTTCATTCAAAACTACTGTTCTTTGATGTAAAAGATGGCGTCTGTGTGGGTGGGGTTAATTTGGGTGTGGCCAATGAGTGACGCAATGTGACACGTTTGATTTTAAATTAATATGGTACAATTTTTGCCTATACACTCTGTGGCTTTATATAGGAATGCTAAACGAAACATTAAAGATGCAAGCCTAAGCAAGCTATAAATTAGGTTCTGTATGATCTACATGTATGAGCAAGCAAAGTAATTGCACAGGTCTAAACACAATACATTGCTGCAGTCATCTTGCTTAAATTTTGTCTATGCCTTCAAGAATCTCAGCGGCAATTAAAGTTATCTTGCTTATAGTTAGAAGCAGTCAAAGATTATACATCTGCTTTGTCAACCTAGTAGAGAAGAAACATCATCTACAATACACCTCATGATGCGGCCAGCTACAGTACATGCAGCATTCTTACTTGCACTAAACTTTTAAAAGTCCTTTATAAAAGATTGTAGAGACCACCCAGAGTGAGAATCGCTTACATATGACAACATTAGAACATACAATAGTAGGTGTGGCCTTGCGCTGTCCGCCATTTTGGTTGGCAAAATTGCCAACAATGGATGCTATATATGAGCAAAAAGTATCCCTTCTCTTTCAATCCAGCAACAAATTGATTGATCCTTTCAAGCTCCCAGAAGAGGAGTTGCTATACTATATCCCAGTTCAGTTTGAGACGGAAGTAGAAGCAGCTGCATGGAATTCGAAAAATGTAGCTACGTCACAAAATGACGTATTATAATGATATTCATAGAGGAATGGAGGCTGTGTTGTTTCACTCTTAAAACAGTCTTGCTGTTACTGATAAGCAGTACGATAGCTGCTGGAGTCAACTAGTTTTCATAAAGGCCATTATTATCAGAAAATCTTGATCTATTAGCTTTTTAAAAGAAGAATTATCAGTTTGGGCGCTTGACTACATGTGCTTATGTAAACTGTGACATCATAAAACGTCATTGCGGTTAGCTTTGGTATGCCATTGGGTT